AGGGGGACCCTGTGTGAGAGCCCCCTCTCCTCTCCCGGGGGAGCAGCTGATTTGGAGGAGGGTGACAGCGCCAGGAGGAGGGGACAGAGAGCCTTAATTACTTCATAGAATCATAGAATCAAAGAATGCTTAGGGTTGGAAGGGACCTCTAGAGATCATCTAGTCCAACTCCCCTGCACACACAGGGTCACCTAAAGCACATGGCACAGGACTGCGTCCAAGCGGGTTTGAAGATCTCCAGAGAAGGAGACTCCACAACTTCTCTGGGGCAGTTGGAAATAGGCAGGGATTGCAGTTATCCCACATGCCATCTCGGGATCCCAATGCCTGCTTGGCCGGGGATAGCCTAATACCGGCCTTTCTTACCCCAAAGAGCAGTGACAGCAGCCGAGTCGTGTCCTTCCCAACCGCCATCCTTTCAGCCTCCGTGCACAAGGAGCTTGTGCTGGACAAGCGTGCAAGATTTCCATATTTTTGTGCTTATGCTCAAGGACACTTATTCCCCACTTGGAAGAGTAAAATAAAATATTAGGAATACCTGCACTAAGTATTTTGCTAACAAAGTTGGCTTTAAAGTATCTCTCTCCAGTGAGAGATCCTGAGACCTCCTGGCTCCAGGAGGGTGTTGAGGGTTTTACTACGTACCAGTTCCATCAAGACTCAGAGCAATTAGTATATTCGGTAGTGAAGTTGCTAGTTTAATCTTTTTTTTGCCTCACGTTGATAAGAAATACATATAGCTGGAAGATTTCATTACGATTTCTCTACCTAAAGAAAATAATGCTGCAAGATCGGACAAGAAAAATTGTAGTGCTTTTTGAGGTTATCATCACTACTTTTTTAATGAGCTTGTGACCAAACCAAAACAGGAAGCTGTTGCTTGATATTGTGCTTGAGAAGTTTATTAGTGAGCAAGGATGGATCATCTCTCTTGTCGGGATAAAAGTTTTTGGAACCACCAGTAGGTTAGTAAGTTTAAAAAAAAAAAAAAAAGCCTCAACTAGATATTATTAGGATGGGACTGTGTCATTTATACATAGCAGTAATCTGTGGAGAAATTACCAGGACAGTATTAGAAAGTGTTTCGAAATAGCTACGTTCCTTGGGGGGGTGGGGGATTGGATGTTTTTACGTTTTTATTTCGGAAAGAGTAGAAAAGGCTGAGCATTCCTTGTTGGTAGAACAGCTCTTCAACTTTTCCTGTATATGGAAATGTGCTGCTACTGCACGTTGGCAAGTACGAAAGCAAGATCGTGGAAAAAGCAATTTGCAGACATGTTTTGCTTACATTAACACATGGAATCTCAAATCATGGCTGTCCAAGGTCAAAGGTAACTCAGATTATGTCAACATTCTCACATTAATTAAAACTACTTAATTCTTTCACTTAGCACTGCATATATTTAATAGTTTGGTTTGGTCTGCAGAATATGATTATTACCAGAATAATAAAATTCGGTCAGTTAAAATTATGGACTGGACTTAAGGCTCATACATAGCTGAATATTACAATTGAAGTGTACTTTGGAAGCAATTTTAAGTCTTATTTCTTTAAAACAGCAGTGCTTGATTTCTTCAGAGAAAAAAAAATCTTTCCACCTGTTTGCATTGTTGCAGTGCTGTATCATCTCTCTCCTTCAGGATTCAGCACTTTCAGTCTATGTGTTATACTCGTGGTACGATAGTAACTGCTAAACTCAGTAAGAACTTACTCATCTTCCATTCACTCCTGGGTTTCTGTTGGGTTGCCATTCATTTCCTGTTTGCCTCCAAATTCCTACCTTGCCTGACGTCCCCACCCTCCGCTAACATGGCCATACTTGGGTATGTTGTAATTTCGGGCTATAATGGGTGTGGATATCTTGGAATGACATCACAGAGATTTCTCTTTTTAGATGTATATGTAGAGGTAAAAAGACTTTGATCCATCAGCCAAGAATAAATTGCTATGAAATTTTGGTGGAATATATGGAAGGAGGAAGGAATTGGCAGGACTCTGTTGTATCTATTGAACTATGCACATTTTAATTATTACAAGTGACCTTGAGCTGTTATGATGTTATCTTCCATCCATTTATGCTGCTGTTGATTCATATGAGACAGAGAATATGATACGAGATTTTAAGCTGGTTTGTAATTGCTGGCCAGTGCATCTCCAGTTGCAGATGTTGAGGGCTGTCTCTTTTGATGTGGTTGTAAGCTGAAGAAAAAAAATGAGTATCTAGCTTTTTGTAAATATTTTATTTTGTTAAAGAAAAGACTAATTTAGCTTGTTCTCTTGGTGTTTGAATCTCTTGGGGAAGAAAACATAACTAGAGCAGTTGAATGCCAGTATTAATGTGAAGAAATCAGTCGTTAGTTAATTTCTAATTTTAGTAGTTTTTCCCTTGGATACATATAAATGGTTTTATCTAATATCTCAGCAGGCTATAGTTGTATATTAATGTTGTGGACATGTCAATTTAATCTCCTGATAGATTAAGAAGAAGATTTATTGAGGTGCTGCTTGTGAGCCTTAATACACGTCAGGGATTGAGTCAATTCACTGAGATATGTACTTAGAGTTTTTTTTTTTTTAATATTCTAATATCACAGTAAAATTACAAGGTTTTTTAGACTTGATGAGAAATTGACGCTCACCTCTGAGGAGATACTAAGAAGCTATAGGATATGCCTTTTAGGGCAATTGCCATAGTAATTAGTAAATAGTATAATAAGAAGAACACTTAAAATTCATCTGCTTCCTAAAGTTAGCAGGGCATATGGCAAAAGCAGCCTTTTAGCACTCTTATGTAGCTACTGAGGAAGTTGTTCATCTTCTGTATTATATAAGGTATAATACTGTAATACTGGACTCAGCCTCAACAAATGTTAAAGACTTTTTTTTTTCTTAATACTTAATCTGATTTTAAAGTGTTGTTGTTTTCACTTTTACATCTTTCAGCTTTTTCAATTTTTAAAACATAGGAATAACTCTTAATTCAGAATGTCTCTACATCAGTTTTTACTAGAGCCAATCACCTGCCATGCATGGAACAGAGATCGTACCCGTAAGTAATTTCTGTTTTTGCTTATTATATTCTATTGACTATCAGTGCATGATCTTGTAATGTTCTGGATCATGTTTAGAGGAGGTGTGGTCAAGTATACAGTGCCGCATGTTAAATGCTCAATTTATAATCCAAAATCTTCCAAATCTACAGTTTTCTATATCCATCCTGGAACTCTGGCCCATGAGTGAATGTAGTTTTACTAGTGTTCCAAAAGGTTTTTTTTTTCCTATTGATCTGAATCTGCATGACAGTATGGCTAGGTTCTTATTCCCCCCCCCCTTTTTTTTTTTTTCCTTCCACGCCCCAAAGCCAACCCTTTTTTAAAATAGCCTAATTCTCTGCTAAAGCTTGGTTTCTGATGTTCAAAATATGCTGTACTTTTGTTGAGCATACTCAAAGCCGTGCTATGACAATAATTATTTCACGTTATCCTGGAATGTTGTCTTCTGGTTTACAAAACAGATGTAATGCTCAGAAATTTGAGAATAGAGATTATATTTTTGGAAAGTCTTTCCCAATAAAGCATCTGATATTAAAAAAAAATCTTCTTTACTACTGGGTTGTTTGTTGTCTCCCTGCAGAGATTGCCATTAGCCCTAATAACCATGAAGTCCACATCTATAAGAAGAGTGGGAACCAGTGGGTAAAAGCCCATGAGCTAAAGGAACACAACGGACACATTACAGGTGAGAAAGAATATATTGTGCCAGGCTAAGGACATTCTTAAATTTTGTCAGTCTCCTCCTTCTCCCACTCTGAGTACCTGAACAGGAAATCTGAAGTGTTGACTAAATACATATCTCCATAATTGTCATTCTCACTTTATGGAGAGCTTTGTAGCATTTCCCTGCACTGTGTGCAACAAATGTTAGTGGAAAAAGAAAGGCTTTGAGCCTTTTTTTGAGTGTCTTTTATTTATTTTCATCCATAATAACATAATGAGAATCAATTTTCAGTCTTCTCAAGTAATCCAATTGTGTCACAAGCTAAGTGAAAAAGAAGTAAGCAAAAAATCTGTACTAAAATTCTGTTGAAGAGGTAAATGACTTTTATACCTGTGCTTTAATTTTATGGCAAAGTAGATATACTACAGAAAGTTAAGCCCATTTTTATTTTGATCTTTTACATTCACGTCTAATCTAGTATTCTGTTTGACCTGCAATTTTATGCTGTTCTTTCAGTTTGTATTATCAGAAACCTGTGCTACTGCGGAAATTATACATCATAGAAGTGAGTGAGGAGATGTTAGAGGCAGTGATGTTTAGCAGCTTGATAGCTCAATGATGGGACTTTTAGTAGACTTCTTAGAATTGTGAGTGTATAAACCTCTTCCACATTTAAATTGTAATCTTTGAGCTTTGGCATTAATATCCTGTCTAAACAAATGCTGCTGTCAATTCTGATCAATTTACTCTTCAAATCTTCTTCAGGTTCAGGAGGAGACTATATTACTCATACTTCATATCTAATACTTTTTCCAACCCTGATAGCTGGAAATTTGCTTTTCAATAAAAATGTAGTTCTAGGATAAAATTCCGCTTACATAAGTCCAAAATTGACCATTTCAAGACTCAAAACAAGTGAGTATATTTTAATACAGACCCAGAAAATCTGTAGATCCAGAATGAAAATGTAAGGACTACCGGGCTGAGACACAAGGTGTTGTGTTTAAAATAGAATTGTCCTGTGTGGTAGTCTTTTAACTTGCTGCCTTTTTTTTTCTAAATAAATGAAAGTAAGTAATAAAAGCACTTTCCCAAACCAGCAATATATATATATTTTTTCTGTTTTCAACTCACTAATGGGTAGAAGCATCTGCCCAGAGAGAGTTTGCAGGAACTTTGTGCAATTTATCTGGTTCTTGCTGTCAGAGAGCACAACTGCTCGTGCTCTTTTGTAGAGAGTCACTTGGATTGAATTTACAAATGACGTGTCATTCCCCAAGGGCTCATCTCCACTCTTTTCTTGTACCTGTTGGCATTAGAGAGAAACCAAATATTCATGACTTGGGAAAATACCCCTCTCTCCTTGGCATTGCATATATCTTTGGAATACTAAATGCTGTGCTGCACTTCAGAAGAAGACTTAGGCTATGGTTAGACTCCGGAGACAAACTGATCAATCTACTCACTGTCTCAGAGAGGAGTGATTCTGCTGCTGCACCTGTAGCTTCTCATCACAAGGGACAAGGTCCTTCGTCTTGCCTTCCCACATCCTGAGTGTGAGGCCTGTGGCAGGCTGCTTCAATTCACTTTCTGAAGAACATTAATCACTTTTTGCTGGGTTAGTTTTCTACAAAGTTGAAAAGCAGAATGCACTGCAAAGGTCTTCTGTCAGTACATAGAGACTGAAATTCTAACCAGCAAAAAAAATAGTATTATCTAAACTTTTAGACCATGACTGTGATCTGGCAGCAAATAAACAGCTATGATAGAGATTTATGCCTACTTCTAGAATTGTTGGGCTTTAGCTATTGAAAAAGGAGCCTCTTGCAGAAATCAGTGATCTAAAGGAGAGGGCTGGCAGAGGGATCTTAATCTGCAGAGCTCCACCTGTTGGTCAACTTTCAGAGGTGTCTTCCTTAGGCAAATCATCTGTGAAATCTGGAAATTTGAGGTCTGCAATTTTGATGAAAGCTGGAGAGAGAAACTAATACCCATAACAACTTTTTAAAAGTGCCTGGAGAGTAAGTGACCAAAGGGAATGCTAATGTAGCATCAACTGTCTTTGTGGTAGAAGTCTGTGACGATTGTTTCTAATTTTGGCTTATTGTAGGACAAACAGTATGAAGGGAAAAGATTATTAATATGAGGTTTAAATTGCAGGTATTGACTGGGCTCCCAAAAGCGATCGAATTGTAACTTGTGGTGCAGACCGTAATGCCTATGTGTGGAGTCAGAAGGATGGTGTATGGAAGCCAACCCTTGTGATCCTGAGGATTAACCGTGCAGCCACCTTTGTGAAATGGTCTCCCTTGGAGAATAAATTTGCTGTAGGAAGTGGAGCTCGACTTATATCTGTGTGCTACTTTGAATCTGAAAACGATTGGTGAGCTGTTTAAATTTGTTTTCCATTTATATCTTTAAGATTTGCTTGGGAAAGCGAAAGCCTGGAGTTTAGTGATGGTACTTAGTGTACTATTCTACTGATTTCTGAAGTCCTCAGAAATATGAGAGGGCTAGGTCTTATCAGTCCTGTGAGGGACTTCCTGTATCCTTGGAGGGAAAAAAAAATTTTAATTCTGTACTCTACTATAGCACCTAAAGGGCCTTGGACTTGGTCTGTTTTCAGGTTATGCATATCAGCATGGGTGTGTTTTTGCTCTTCTAGAGCAAATTTTGCAGAGCAGAAATATCTCTGCCACAAGTGAATAATGTAGTTTAAAAAGACAAATATTTCATTTCTCCTAGTTGAATGAAGAAAGTGTGATCCGGTCTTTCTTCCATATTATTTATATTGGACCACTACTTGTCATTAAATTATTGAAGTCTGTGATTTATCTCCAGGGTGGTCCATTTAGCAGAGATTGAAACTGGTAGTCTCCCTGCCCCGTATTCTGCCATGCATTCTCATTAGACTTCATAGATTTCATACAGGACTATTAGAAATATTTCTACCATTAACATTTTTCTTTTTGGATCTTAAACTTAGCATTTTTTTATTTTAATGGAGTTGTCATTGGAGATGTTTTTACCATGTCATCTGTTAATTAAATCAGTATGTTAAGTATCAATTATTTTGTGTTGTATAAACACGCATAAAAACACAGGTTTCTCTGCCCACCATTCTGTATGTAGCCTTCCGCGTGGAGATGGTAAACAATGAGACAATCTATAAAATTCATTTTAAAGATTGTCTTGAACTTTCTGCTTTCCAATATTTTGGTTGTTGACGGTTTCTCTGGCCCACTTGTCTGCAGAAGAATCATGAAAGCAGTGCTGCTTAGCTCTGTAGTGTGGTCAAAATGGAGCTGCTGTTTGTGGGATGTAAGGAACCAGGCAGTTAGTATGCCAAATTAGGGAGTTCAGTCTGCTATTTTGTAAAAATTGGCTGGAAGGGTGATAGTATTCACATGAAGAGATATGGATATATATTTAACATGAATTTGTTTATAGTGTTTTAAATTTTAGACTATAGACAGGAATCTGCAATCTTTCCAAATTCCTTTAGATGGTCTTATAGATGTGAGACTTGGGCATACTGTGAGTTTTCTTGGAAAACTGGCGTGTTTGGTCATTGTGTAGGGGTTATGTTTTTTTATAGAACATATTTCATGGCGTGAGAGACTCTGAAATATTTTCGTATACATTTTATTTCTTTATTTAGGTGGGTGAGCAAGCACATTAAAAAGCCCATTCGTTCCACTGTCCTTAGCTTGGACTGGCACCCCAATAATGTTTTGTTGGCTGCTGGATCCTGTGACTTCAAGTGCAGGTGAGAGAAAATAAAACATATGTAAATGAATTTGGGTTACTGGTTTAAATTAGTTAGTAGCACAAGTGTGTTAATCATGCATGTGTCATCAGAAGAGAAGACAGCTCATCACTTGCTAATGCTGTTACTAAAATAAAATACCTAGCTTAAAAGGTTTGGCCTTTGGTACCACTACATGCAGACTTTGGTCTGTGAATATTTCTCTGTTGAGGAATCCGTGTGAATATAATAAAATCATAGGTTCTTTAGTAGCAATGCACTTGGAGTACTACTATTTTATATGTGCTAAGTGCTTAGATCCACTTGGGCTGGAATTCAGCTAGTAAGTGCTATCTTGTAGAAAACCACCACTGCCAGGTAGGATAAATCTTGCAAGTTGCTCTGTTTTGAGCAGCTGCGGTCATTGCAGTGAGGTTTGCATGAAGACCAGTGTGCAGAGTGGTTGACTTTTTAAATTCATGCTTTACTTAATCATGTGTGCCTTGAGTGATAATGGAAGATACTTTTTTACAGAATTTTCCATTACGTGAAAGGATAATTTTAAGCTTCAAAATCTGTACTAAAAATTACTAAGAGGTGGGATGGGAAAGTGGGACCAAATATTAAGTTCCTTGTTTCAGAATGAAACACATAACTCTGAAGACTTGATCATTCATTAGATGTGAAACTAAAACTGGTCAAGAGGAGAGTTTTCTCCATTCTGTGCCTTATCTCCATTTCTAATTAGATAATCTGTACATATCCACTTCCTATCCTGGAAATGTAGTGCAGAAAGTACTCGTTGATCTTCCAGAAGCAACTGCTTTTCACATGTGAATTTCTTTTCATCAAGCATCTCAGGACTCTGGCCTTAAGTCAGCTGATATGTGTATCTGTCCCTTCACATTTTCAGCTCTTTTTTTTTTGTGTTCCAGTGTATTGTTGTGTGCATTGGATCCCTGATTATCTCTTCTTTCCACTTTTGATGGAGAAGTCTTATTTGAATCATTTTCTTTTTGTGTTTTTTTGAGGTTTTGTTTGTTTGTTTTAAGAAAAAAAAGTTCAAGATGATGTTGAATCACTTTCTTCCAAGTGTTTACTAGAAGACTTGCTTTGTCCTTTGTTTCCTGTCAGAAAACTCTCTGACCTGCATCTCATTTCTCTGAAAATGGTATATATTAAAAAATGGATTTTGGTAAAGCATTTTGGGAAACTTTCTGCTCTTGTTTAAAACTTTAGGATGAATCATTTAATAATCTTGCCTCTTCTATGATAGAAATCTCCATACAGAAATATTATTAGCTAACAAAGAAAGGAAGGAAAATTAATGGCGATGGGTACTGCTTTTATGATTATATTGCTTCCCCAATCCTATGAAAGACTTTTCTCTTTGTTAAAGACAAACAAAGAGCTTTACAATTCCAGTTCCAGGGAATGTCCAGTTGGATATTAAAGATAATAAAGATACCTGAGCCTGAAGTATGCATCAGTTCTGATAGATGGTCCTGAAGTAAATTATGAAATGGATCAGCCAAAGCCACTTCCAGCTAATAAGCAGCTAAGTGGGAGGCGTTTTGGAAAAAGAATGGAATCCAGGTTGATAGGCAGTCAGCAAAGTGACTGGCCTAGATGAGCTCCTCTTACATCTGTCTTTAGGAAAAAAATATATATGTGTATGTATGTATATATCTAATATTACCACAAAGGTACGAATTTTATATTCTTGCTGGGACACTGTTGCTGTGGGCATAAAAGCCATTTTCCAATGTCCTTTATGTATACCAGTAGCTATCTCCTAGGTCTCTCACTACTGAGGAACTGTTTTTTTCTGCCTTGTGTGAAAGGCTGTTGCTTTAAATGTCTTGTCCTATTTCCATACATTAAAGAGAACCATTCTTTAAAATTAAGTTTGTTGAAGGATTATCATTAAATTAAAATTAAACTGATATGGCCACCTATAAATTCATACTTAATCCTCTGAAAATAAGTACCTAATACAGCTGCAGTAGAACCTTTTTCTGTTCCAAAATGGTCAACTTTTATCTGAATAATCTGAATATAGGTCTTTTTTGTGAAGAACATACTGTACACCTAAAGAATGTTAAAGGAGGCGGGGGGGAGTAATGTTCCCTTAAACTCACTATAAAATAACTGTTTGCTTTTAACTATAATCATGGATGTCCGATCATTCCTTTTTCTTTTATATTGGCATATTTCTCTGGTAGTAGTTGATGTAGTTCATTTGCTCCTCCTGTTCATGGGCTCTTATCCTATGTTTGTGACGTCCCAGTAACTTCCATGGTAACAGTCAAGAACACCATATTGTGGCATGTCTGAATCATGCAGAAAGAATTTGATGAAAGGGGGAGGCTTTCTATTTAAGCATACCTAGAAAATTGTAGTGCTGGGGAAAAGAGCTGTAAAAACATTGTGGTATTTCAGGTTTTTGAGGCATTCTTTCAGTAATGAGCCAGAATAAGGTAGCGCAGAGCCTCTTTGGCATTTGAACACCAGTTTTCTTTCTCTGAAATCCTACGAAAAGGTGAATGTTCTTAAAACATGGGTAATTTTGTAGGTGTTTGTATTAGCTGCTAATTACATATTGTAACTCTTAGCTTTTCTCTAACTGAGTAATTGACTCTGAGGGTCATTAACACTGCAGAAAGATGAAAGGGAGATCCTAGCACAGTGAAAAATGCAAGTACAATACATGTTTTAATGCCACCTTCTGGAAAAAGAGAGAGAAACAGCATATGACATTTATGAGAAGCCCATATTCATTACACCCTTTGTACTATTTCTTTCTCTCTATGTACTGAAGCTTCCCAGGCAGTAGTTGCTTGCTATTTAAAAATACTGTAGTGGTTTATTTTAATAGAATTAGAATGTATGTAGTTCCTTCCAGTGTGAAATAGGCAACTCCCAGGAGTTTTTTTTTCTCTTTATATTCATGCTGAATTTTTTTCCTTTGCAGGGTTTTTTCTGCTTACATTAAAGAAGTCGATGAAAAACCAGCCAGTACACCCTGGGGCTCCAAGATGCCTTTTGGGCAGCTGATGTCAGAATTTGGGGGCGCTGGAAGTGGCGGATGGGTGCACAGTGTCAGTTTTTCTGCCAGTGGTAACCGCCTAGCCTGGGTCAGTCATGATAGTACGGTGTCAGTTGCTGATGCCTCAAAAAATATGATGTGAGTATGGGCTTTTTGTTAGTTATTACCTGAGAATTTTAGATGATATAATCTAAATTTCTTAAGCATGTACTCTATGAAGGTACAGTCATTTGCTTTGGAAGTAAAAAATGTGTTGTGCTTTGGTCGGCGGGGAATCGGTATTTCCTCGTAAATGGGTCCAAGAGGCTTGGAGAAATATGTCCATAACTCCATAATTACCAAGGCTTTGTCCTACCAGGGGTCTGGAAGATAAGTTATTCATTTCATGAAATCTCAGTTCTGTCCTTTAGCCTTAAGACAATCTTGTTCCAAGTCTCTGATGGCAAAAGTTGTATAAATAGTTGTATAAATTGCCGGCTAAGGATTTCATTAGGTATAAAGTAATCTAGAAATCCTAAGAAAATTTTATCCTTTTAGTTAGTTCTTATTTATTATAGAGTCACAAGAGGTAACATGCAGGTTTTATCCTCTTAAAGACATGACATTAAGTGCTAAAACTACAAGTGTATTTTATATTAGAAATGAAATTAATAACTTACTCAATTTGAGCCTTTTCAGTTCCAATGCTCTTTTAAAACTATTGCTATAGTTTACACACAGAATGCTAACTGATCTCGGCATTTCATCCGCAAGATTCATGTTTGATACAGAACTTCCAGGGCACTGCCTTTGCGTTAGAACTTCCTTTATTACAAATTCTGACCTTCTGGTGTCACTTCAGGACAACAGCTGAGCTACACTGACTTTTCCAATAACCCATGTCTGGGAACAGTCTCTTTTATGTTCTATGACAGTCAAAGATGAGAGGTTTCAATGAAGTCCTTTAACAAATGTTCTTGTGTTCAGGGTTTCGCAGCTGAAAACAGAGTTCCTCCCACTCCTGAGTGTGTCATTTGTCTCTGAGAACAGCATGGTGGCAGCTGTAAGTGCCTTATTTTCTCCTTGTAGAGTGTTACAATATTTTGGAGAGGGAGAAACAGCACACTACATTGCAAAGTTAGTAGCAGAAGCCTCTTCAGGAGTGTCAGCCTTTGCATTTCTGCAATTAAAAGTATTAGAAAGAAGCTCTCCTTGTGTTTAGGTGGTTGTGTTTCTTGACACGCTTTCGTGATGTCTGGTTGCAGGGTCACGATTGCTGCCCGATGCTCTTTAACTGTGATGACCGTGGCTTGCTGACCTTCATTTCCAAACTAGACATTCCAAAACAGAGCATCCAGCGCAATATTTCCGCCATGGAACGCTTTCGAAACATGGATAAAAGAGCCACTACAGAAGATCGTAACACTACCTTGGAGACACTGCACCAAAACAGTATAACGTGAGTGTCTTGGCAGTCAAAGTGAGGGGAAGGAGCTGTATTTCAAGCTCCTTTGGGAGTTTGAATTTGCCCTGCCAGCTATCAATTCCTGCAGCTTGCATGGGAACTAGTAAAATTAATCATTAACCTGCATTCATGCAATCTCTGTTTGCTTTTGTTTAATGTGTTCAGTAACTTGAACATTGCCAATCTTACCAAATATGTAGAGAGTTGACAAAATCCAGTCAGCAGACTTCACCTGAAACAAGCATATGTACCAACTTACTATTTCAGGTGTTACTTACATGTGTGTGTATGAATGATTCTGGTTAATCAAATGAAATATTATGTTTGAAAGAGCCCATAAGATGTTAACATTCCTGGAGCAATTTGCTTTTATCCAGGAAATGTTTAGACTACAACCACCACGCGCTAAAAGAACTTTTGGCATCCTTCTCTTTGCTTACTTTTCTGAAGCATTCCACCAAAAATCTAGGATAAAATATGCTATCCTCATGTCTCTCTTTAGGAGAGTGGGAGTTGAATTCTGCCCAAATTTCCCTGCTTCCTGGCTCCCTGGAATGGGTGTCTGTCTGACAACTATCACTCTCTGTTTTCAGCCAAGTGTCTATTTATGAGATAGACAAACGAGATTGTCGTAAATTCTGCACCACTGGCATTGATGGAGCAATGACCATCTGGGATTTCAAGGTAGGCTTTTGCTGCTGTGTGTGTGGACTGCACGTGCTCATGGTTTTGTTAATCTCTTGCCTCAGCTGCTGGGACTCAGCCCTAATGCCAGTTGTATTAGCACAAGGAAATCTGGGATGTTCAAGACCATTAACAAGCTCCATAAGGAAGACAGAGCTAAGGTTTAGCATAAATGCAGATATACTTTGCTTAGCAGATGGTCATAATCCACACTTTTTTAATTGGATCACTTACATTCCTGTAGGAATCCTGCTAATTCTTTCCGTTTTATGACCTCTGTCATGACCACAGTGAGGCTAGAACGATCACTGGTGCAGCAAGACCCGCTGTCTCTTCTTGCTCCTATGCCTTTGGACTCCCTGTCTTTCTCAAGACAGAGTCATACACTCGATTAATTGATAGAAATAGTAAGAATTTATCTAAAACAATTAGGAAATGCAGCAAGTGATGCAAGAAGGTGCACAGGCACTTGCCCTGTTGGGACTGGCCAACAGAGGTCTCTGCTCACCTGCCAAGCTTTGCTTACAGCTGTACATGGGCTTTTAGGGGCAGAATTTGTACTCCAGTAAGGCCTGAAAGCAGGGACAGAGGCTAAGAAAGAAGCAGAAACTGTAAATCGTATTAGTCAGTTTGTGGGGGAAAGGAGGGGAAGTCATTCGCCTGTTTAGGCAGGAGTTTGGAATGAATAATCATAGTGGTCTCTGGCCTCTGGGTGCATGTCTCAACCACCCTCTTCGTTTTGCTCCTCTTAATGTCAGCCTTTTCACAGAATTGTTTAACATAGGATATGGTAGCAGTTTGTGATTAAGATTTTCTCTCTTTCAAGACCTTAGAGTCCTCTATTCAGGGTCTACGAATCATGTAGAGATGGATTTCCGTGATCTAGCAGGGCAAACTGCTTGACCGAATGCAGCTCCCACATCTGCACAGACTCAAAAAGGGAGGAAGAAGGCGGAGTATTTGGAAACACTGAGAAAATACAGCTTGGCAGATTTTCTTTTGAATCTAAATTTGGTGAATTGTGTTGGTTTCAAAATCAGCTGTGATTGTTCTTTTTATTTTATTTTTTTTCGGTTGGTTGTTTCATTCCATTCTTTACCAAAGCTGCTCCTTAAGTAGTTTATTGCAGGAAGTTATGAATCACTAACTTAAAAGGGGAATTTTATGTAAATTGTCTGCTAGAAATAATAATAATAATAATAAAAAAGAAAAAAACAGATCGTTTCGTGTTTTGATTCTTACTGACAGTTTGAAAAATGAATGCTGTAGGAAGAAAAACAGATTAATAGGGTAAAAACACCTGAACTGATTTTTCTGGCCTCAAAAGGGGAAGAGTTCATCCTAACAGAAAGTTCACAAATGAAGATGAACCGGCTAGACTTCTTTTAGGGAAATTACTCCCTTGGAGAATGTGGTAATTTTGGATGATGTGTGATTTTTGTCCTACTGACTCCTCATTCTGTCTGCCTGCCATTGAATCCAGTAATCTAGTAAGAATAACAAATTAAACCAGATGTCTTTTTCATTCAGTTTGGTGGCTCGTAGTTCTCTGAAGGCAAATGACCGGAGTTATTTGTAGTGGCTTTTATGATCTGTGCAGAGGCTCCTCACTGTGCAGTGCCTGGCGTACAGAATTGGGAGAGCACGGGCAGAAAGTGAGGCAAAAATTTGCTGAGCCAAATCTTAGCAGGATAATTTAGAAACAAGTCACTTTGCAAACCCATGCAGCCGCAGAGGCCTGCATGTCTTGTTAGAGCTGAGTGTTCTGCAAATAAAACTCTATATTTATAACGACCAGGAAGAAATTAAGTACATCTTACCCGAGTGAAGAGCACACAGTGGCTTCAGTCCTTCGTCCAGGTAACTGAATCTTTTGAAGTCCAGAGGGTTTGTTGCTGCCTTGGTGCTTGTTCCAGGCTGTGCTCTGGAGAGGATGATGTGGCTTCACGAAGCTTCAGACTTTTTCATTTCATTTTTGAAAATGCAGAAGTGTCTTTGAAGAAAGCAACGTTGACTAAATTTACCACTTCCTCTGGAACCAGAATGTTTCTTCAGCTCTGGGTGATTGAAGGGGAGGCTGAAAGAGAAGCCCACAAAGCAGCCAAGTCCTGCTGTGTTTCTGTTAAGTGAACAATGTCCATCAGAGGAGGATCATTTTCAGGTACAAAGTTTGCTGGATGCAGAGGACTGGCTGTTTTTCAGTTCCTCCCATTTTTATTTTGTCTCTATCTCTTCCTCTGGCAGTCAAGTGTGGTTTTTCAATTTCCCCTCCCTTCTAAACATAAAATAATGACTGTTTAATGACCTCTTACTCATCATCTGGTGACTTGTGTATAACTTTTACGATGGGTTTATTAGCTCAGATATAATGTCATGCTGATGTAGTAAAATGTCTCCTGGATCAAAGTGACACTGTCAGCCAGCGTGGAGGATGAACGGAGCAGCTTGATTTGTTTCTGTCCTTCTGTGCAGGCATGTCATTAGATGCTTATGTCTCTCAGAAAGTTACGATTTTGTTTCTGAAGTTGCATTGAAAGTGTGATGCTTTACTTAAGAAAAATGTTTAAAAAGCTGTGTTCTGAAACGTACGGCCCAAATACTACAAGAGTATGGAAAAATCATCAAATGAGAGAGTGCAGAAAATGAGTCTTTACGTTTTGGGCTGTTTCTGCATTAAAGATCTAGCGAGGGTAGAACGAGCCTTTTAGCTCCAAAAAGGCAACAAAGTGACATTGGAAAGAGAAGTGTCTATGCGAGAAGTTAGAGATTGCCAACAGATGGGGAATATTTACCCTGGAAAAGAAGTGAGCAGGGGGAATAAAAACACTCATCCCTCAAGGCCTGATCTGACTTGAAGCCGCTTGACGTGCAGCAGAGGGGGAAGAGCTCAGGGACAACCCGAGATGGCAGCTTCCCGGATTCCCGGCCGTTTATCCCATCTGGAAGGGCTGCCACCCAGCCCTGCAGCCCGTTTGGAGGTAGGTGCTGCTTTGCCTGCGGGGTTTCCTTCACCTCCTCCCCGTGTTCTCTGCCCGCGGCGGGTACGGAGGCGCTGGGAGCGCGCGGCCGCTCGCGCGCTCCTCGCAGGGGATGCATGGGCTGGTGCTGCTCTCGAAGGCAGAGCGCGCGGTGCAGCTCACGGTGCAGCCCACGGTGCAGCTCACACTGCAGCCCACGGTGCAGCCCACGGTGCAGCTCGCGCTGCAGCTCACGGTGCAGCTCGCGCTGCAGCCCACGGTGCAGCTCACACTGCAGCTCATGGTGCTGCTCATGGTGCAGATCACACTGCAGCCCACGGTGCAGCTCACGCTGCAGCCCACGGTGCAGATCACGCTGCAGCCCACGGTGCAGCTCACACTGCAGCTCACGCTGCAGCCCACGGTGCAGCTCACGCCGCAGCTCGCGGTGGCTGCAGCCTTAATTAAGGAGCGCCGCGGGCTGCGTTTGCTCCATGTTACGTGCCAGTTCACAGGCTCTTGGGGCAAAAAGGGGGCTCTGCACAAGCAGGGAGCATTGGCTGCTTGTGGGAGCCTGCTTTCAAAAAAAAAATTAAAAAAAGAGAAAAGATGGTGCAGACCTGCTGCTACCTTGTTTAATCTCTTCCTGCAAGGCTGTGGGCCGGTCAAGACCTTCCACAATGGCTGCAGGAGGATCTCTGCCCTTCGGGAAACTGAGGCAAAAAGAGGCGGAATGGTTTAGACAAGCTTGGAGTCAGATCCAGCCAGAGAGGGAGCGGGGCTGGTGCTTCCTCCCCATCCTCGGCAGCGCTGGCTGGTTCTCCCAGGGGCCCTGTCCTGCTTTGGAGAAGCCCCTGCTGCTCCCC